CTCTTTGGACCCAGACCAAGCCACGTTATAATTAAACTGTCAAAAATTAAAGACAAAGAGAGAATCTTAAAAGCAGTAAGAGAAAAGCAACTTGTTCTTATGCAAGCCCCCATAAGAATATAAGTGGATTTTTCCACAAAAACTTTGTAGGCCTGGAGGGAGTGGGATGATATATTCAAAGCGCTGAAAGAAAAAAACTGCCAACTAAGAATGCTCTACCCAGCAAAGCTGTCCTTCAGAGTCGAAGGAGAAATCAAGAGTTTTCCGGGCAACAAAAGCTGAAGAAGCTCATCAGCACTATATCAACCTTATAAGAAATGTTCAAGGGAGTTCTTCAAGCTGAAATGAAAGGACACTAATTGGCAACAGGAAAACATGAACGTAGGAAACTCATTGGTGAAGGTAAATATATAAATTGAGAATACTCTAATCTTGTAATAATGGTGGATAAATCATAACTCTAGTAAGAAGGTTAAAAGATAAAATATTAAAAATAACTATAACTACAAAATTTGTTAATGGATACACAATGTAAAAAGATGTAAACTGTGACATCAGAAACATAAAATGTGAGAGGGGTAGTGTAAAAATGTAGAGCCTTTGATGTATTCAAAGTAAAAATGTGTTATCAGCTTAAAATAGACTGTTATATAAATATGATGTTGTATGTAAGCCCCATGGTAACCACCAAACAGAAACCTATAGTTGATACACAAAAGATACAGGAATGAAAGCATACAACTACGAAATCATCAAATCACAAACAAAGAAGGCAAGAGGGAAGAAAGGAACAAAGGAATTACAAAACAACCAGAAAACAATTGACAAAATGGCAATACTAACTCCATATCTATCAATAATTATTTTAAAAGTAAATGCAGTAAATTCTTCAAACAACAGAGTGGCTGAATGTATAAAAAACAAGACCCAACTATACACTGCTTACCAGAGACACACTTCAGCTTTAAGGACACACATAGTGTAGCGAAAGTGAAGGAATGGAAGAAAATACTTCATGCAAATGGAAACCAAAAGAAAGCAGGGGTAGCTATACTTACATCAGACAAAATAGACTTTAAGCCAAAGACTGTAAGAAGAGACCTGAAGGTCATTATATAATGATAAAGGGGTCAATGCATCAAGAGGATACAACATTTGTATATTTTACACAACAACATAGGAGAACCTGAATTTATAAAGCAAATATCAACAGATCTGAAGGGAGAAAGAGACAACAATACAACAGCAGGGGACTTCAATACCCCACTTTCAACAATGATAGTTCATCCAGACAGAAAATCAATAAGGGAAATTGGACTTAAACCACATGTTAGATGAGGTGGACCTGACAGACATCTACAGAACATTCTATCCAAAAGCAACAGAATTTACATTCTTCTCAAGCACACATGAAACATTCTCCAGGGTAGATCATATATTAGTCACCGAACAAGTCTTAATAAATTTAAGAAAACTGAAATCACATCAAGCAGTTTTCCAACCACAATGGTATGAAATTAAAAATCAATTACAAGAAGAAAACTAGAAAATTCACAAATATGTGGAGATTAGACAACACGTTGCTGAACAACCAATGGGTGAAACATGAAATCAAAAAATATCTTGAGAAATGGAATTAAAAATGGAAACACAACATACCAAAACTTATGGGATGCAGCAAAAGCAGTTCTAAGAGGGAAGTCTATAGTGGTGAACACCTACATTAAGAAAAGAGAAAGATCTCAAATAATCTAACTTTATACCTCAAGGAGCCAGAAAGAGAAGAATAAACTACACCTAAAGTCAGTAGAAGGAAGGAAATAAGAAAGCTCAAAGTGGAAATAAATGAAATAGAGACTAAAAAGACAACAGGAAAGATCAATGAAATTAAGAGCTGTTTTTTTAAAAAGATAAACAAAATAGAAAAATCTTTAACTAGATTTACCATGAGAAAAAGAGAGAGAATTCAAATAAATAAAATTATAAATGAAAGAGGAGACATTACAACTGATACCCACAGAGATGCAAAGGATCAGAAGAGACTACTATGAACAATTACATGCCAACAAATTGGATGACCTAGAAGAAATGGATAAATTCCTAGAAACATACAACATACCAAAACTGAATCATGAAGAAATAGTAAATGTGAACAGACTGATTATTAGTAAGGAGATTGAATCAGTAATCAAAAACCTCCCAAAGAACAGAAGTCCAAGACCAGATGGTTTCACTGGTAAATTCTACCAAACATTTAAAAAACGAATACTAATCTTTATCCAATTCTTCCAAAAAATAGCAGAGGATGGAACACTTCCAAACTCATCTATGAGGCCAACACTACAGTGATACTGAAGCCAGACAACGATACTACAAAAAAATAAAATTGCAGGCCAATATCCCTGATGAACATAGTTGCAAATATCCTCAACAAAATATTAGCAAACTAAGTTCAACAATACATTGAAAGGATCATACACCACGATCTAGTGGGATTTATTCCAGGGACACAAGAATGGTTCAACATCCATAAATGAATCAATATGATACACCACATTAATAAATTGAAGGATAAAAGTCACACAAATACCTCAATAGATGGAGAAAAAGCATTTGACAAAATTCAACATCCTTTTGTGTGAAAAACTCTCAACAAACTGGGTGTAGAGGGAATGAACCTCAACATAATAAATACCATGTATGACAAGTCCACAGTTAACATCATACTCAATGGTGAAGAGCTCACAGTTTTTCCTCTAAGATCATAAACAAGACAAGGATGCCTACTCTCCCCACTTCTATTCAACACAATACTGGAATTCCTAGCCAAAGCAATCAGGCAAGAAAAAGAAAGAAACGGCATTCAAATCAGAAAGAAAGAAGTAAAATTGTCTCTATTTGCAGATGACATGATATTATATATAGAAAACCCTAAAGACTTCACCAAAAAAACCTGCTAGAATTAATAAACCAATTCAGTAAAGTTGCAGGATACAAAATCAATATAGAAAAATCAGCGGCATTTCTATACACCAATGCACCATCAGAAAGTGAAATTAAGAAGACAATCTCATTTACAATAGCATCAAAAAGAATAAAAAACCAGGAATAATTTTTTCCAGTATTATTGAAAAATAATTGACACACATCACTGTATAAGTTTAAGGTGTACAGCATGATGGTTTGTTATACATATATTGTGAAATGATTACAGCAATAGTTTAGTTAACATCCATCATCTCATATAGATCCAATAAAAAGGAAAGAAAATAATTTCTCCTTGTGATGAGGAATAAATTTAACCAAGGAGGTGAAAGAATTGTACACTAAAAACTACAAGATATTGATGAAAGAAACTGAAGAAGACACAAATAAATGGAAAGATACTTCATGTTCATGGTTTGGAAGAATTTATATTGTTAAATGTCCATACTACCCAAAGCAATATACAGATTTAATGCAATCCCTATCAAAATTCTAATGGGCTTTTTCACAGAAATAGAACAAAATCTTCAGATTTGTATGGAGCCACGAAAGACTCAGAATACCTATAGCAATCTTGAGATAGAAGAACAAAGTTGGAGGCATCACACTTCTTGATTTCAAACGATATTACAAAGCTATAGTAATAAAAACAGTATGGTAGTGGCATAAAAACAGACACTTAGATCCATGAAACAGAATAGAGAGCCCAGAAATAAACTCATGCACATATGGTTAATTAATTTACAACAAAGCAGCCAAGAATATACAATGGGAAAAGGGTAGTCTCTTTAATAAACGGTGTTGTGAAAACTGGACAGCCACATGCAAAAGAAGGAAATTAAACCACTATCTTACACCACACACAAAAATCAACAATTGTGTGTGTATATATATATATACACAATGGAATAGTATTCAGCCTTAAAAAGAAGGAAATCCTGCCGTTTGCAACAACGTGTCTGATCCTGGAAGGCATTATGCTAAGTGAAATAATCTAGCCAGAGAAAGGCAAATACTGCATGGTGTCAGTTATATGTGGAATCTAGAAGGAAAAAAAGCTGAACTCATAGAAACAGAGAGTAGAAAAGTGGTTGCCAGGGTTTTAGGGGGTTTGGAAAAGGGAGAGGTTGGGAAAAGGGTACAAACTTTCAGTTATAAGATGAATAAGGTCTGAGGATCTAACGTATAACATGGTGACTATAGTTGATAACACTGTACTGTATAACTGAAATTTGCTAAGAGAGTAGAACTTAAATGTTCTTACCAAAAAAAGACAACCATGTCAGGTGATGGATGTGTTAACTTGATGAGGGAATCCTTCCACAATGTACACATATGTCAAATCATCAGATTGTACACTTAAAATATCTTATAATCTTATATGTCAATGATACCACAATAAATATGAAAACATAAATAAAAACAAAATTACTTTAGCATTCACTACAGACCACTGTGGACAGATATTTAAATCCCAAACCCAGAATCAAGAGACAGAAACTGGGAAGCAGGAATTAATCGAGGCGGAGATTCCACTTTCAAAGGTCCTGAGCATCATTGGGCTCTCTATCCTTCGGGGCACGCACAGACCGACTGTCCTCCCCACGTGCAGGACAAATTCATTACACCCTTCACTAAGACTCTGAAGGCTGGGGAAGAAATAACACTCCCATTTTACCTGAAATTGAATTAAAAGGTGAATACAAAACCAAAGATGTACCAAGAGCCAAAACTAGAATTAGAACAGATTAACTTCTGATTCCAAGTTTTGACATTGGAAGAAATGGACCTGGACATTATAAATTATCAGCATGATGCAAATTATCCCAAAGTGTCCTTATCACCAAGTGTCTAATTACAACTTACATTATATTAGATACGTAAAATTTGTTACTGTTGTACATTGGAAAATAACATATTCAAATGTGGCTTATTCTTTTTTATAATCTGAGACCTATCTTCCAAATCCTCTTTGATCTGAGAGATTGGAAACTTGAAATATTGACTCTCCTTACCTGATGTTGGCTCGATAGTAAAGGCTTGATGAGACTGAACCAAAGTGATATGAAACTCGAAATCTACAGGGCTACTGCACTGCAAAGGAATAACATAATTTTTGCTGCAAAAAAAAAGAGGAAGAAAATATTGTTTTTCTTTATAACTAGCTCTTTTGGTATCAAGAATACAGATTCATGTTATGTGATGAAAACCACAACAATGATGACAGTCAACAAAAGCAATAATTCCTGGGTGTCAGCCATCCTGCACACCTCCCAGGTACTAACTCCTCTGCTCCTGTGAGGGTGCCATGGCTTCCTCACCTGCAGAAGAGGAAGCTGAGGCACAAGAGAGGGTCCGTGTCCTGCCCAAGGTGCAGAGCCAGACCTAATGCACGGCAACCGTCCCAAGGAACAACGCTCCAACACCCCTGTCCTTGCTGCCACTCGAGGACTGTCAGGTTTGTCCTGTTGGACACTCACAGCCACAGGGAAAAGGCGTCTCTGCCGCACAGCAGGCCCCAGAGGACCCAGGACACGCTGAACAAACAGGTGCTACGCAAAGCCTGGGGAGCCCTGGCCTTTACAGAACTGGAACTAGGCTGCTTCGAAGAAACCACACTTTGGGTTGTGTTTGAAATATGCGAGAGATTCTTTATTTGGTTAGAAGTCCAACAACCAGTACAGGACCCGGAGAGGGTCTGTGTATCCAGAAATGCGCTCCCACCCGAGACAAGGCTGACTTCTGAGTAAGTCTGAGGTTGTTGCCTACGGCACCACAGGAGCTGCCGCAGCAGTGGCATCTCTCAGAGAGCCCTGAGCTTCTCCTAATGTCCCTCCTTCCATCAGACCAAGCCCAGGTCAGCCAGAGTTTGCAGGATGAGCGAGGCCTGGAGAAGCAGAGCTCTCCAGCTGTCACTTGGCATCCTGTGCAGAGCTGGGGCAGGTTATCTGGGCTCCTTTCATCAGCTGGACATTGAGCTCCTCTTTGAAGTGACTCAGCCACACTCTCTGTCCCTGCTTTTCCTTGTGCTTCCTCCCTTCTCCTTGGGGCTGTGCGTCTCCTCTCCACCTCATAACTCCCGCGCTCTCACGGCCAATCATGCCCTCCTAGCCAGAGGCTGGTTCTTAACTCTTAACACTTCAGGTGGGGCCCTCCCTGTCATCCTCTCTCCTCCCTCACATTTCCCAGTTCATACTCCTGGGAGAACGTAATCGTAATCACTTGTGTAACTGCTAGCCCTCCAGGACCAGTTCCACTGACCCCATCTTATCAAGAGAGTAATTTAGAGTTGTCTTTCAGCAAGGACAACACAAAGAAGCAAAGTTACAGGCCAACATCACTGACGAACATAGATGCAAGAATCCTCAACAAAATATTGGCAAAGTGAATACAGCAATACAGTAAAAGGATCATACACCATGATCAAGTGGAATTTATACCAGGGACACAGAGATGGTTCAACACTCACAAATTAATCCATCTGATACACCACATTAACAAAATGAGGAATAAAAATCACATGATCATCACAATAGATGCAGAGAAAGCATTTGACAAGATCCAACATCATTTGTGATAAAAACTCTCAAGAAAATGAGAGTTGAGAAAACTCTCAAGAAAAGGAAAGTACCTCAACATAATAAAGGCCATATATGACAAACCCACAGCCAACATCATACTTAATGGTGAAAAATTGAAAGCCATTCCTCTGAGAACAGGAACAAGACAAGGGTGTCTGCTTTTGCCACTCCTTTTCAACATAATACTGGAGGTTTTGGACAAAGCAATTAGGCAAGAAATAGAAATAAAAGGTATCCAAATTGGAAAGGAAGAAGTCAAACTCTTGGTGTTTGTTGATGACATGATTCTACATATGGAAAACCCTAAAGAATCCATCAGAAAACTAGTAGAAATAATCAACAACTACAGCAAAATTGCAGGGTACAAAATCAACTTATGAAAATCAGTTGCATTTCCATACACTAATAACAAACTAGCAGAAAGAGAAGTCGAGAATACAATCCCATTTATAATCATAACAAAAAGAATAAAATATCTGGGAATAAGTTTAACAAAGGAGGTGAAAGACCTATACACTGAAAACTATAAGACATTATTGAAAGAAATCAATGATGACATAAAGAAATGGAAAGACATTCCATGCACATGGATTGGAAGAATAAATATAGTTAAAATGTCCATATTACCTAGAGCAATCTACAGATTCAATGCAATCCCAGTCAGAATCCCAAAGACATCCTTCACAGAAATAGAACAAAGAATCCTAAAATTTATATGGAACAACAAAAGAAACCCAATAGCCAAAGCAATGCTGAGAAAAAAGAACAAAGCTGGAGGCATCACAATCCGCGACTTCAAAACATACTACAAAGCTACAGCATACTACAGTAATCAAAACAGCATAGTACTGGCACAAAAACAGACACACAGATAATGGAACAGAATTGAAAGCCCAGAAGTAAAACCATACATCTATGGACCACTAATCTTTGACACAGGAGCCAAGAGCATAAAATGGAGAAAGTCTCTCCAACAAATGGTGCTGGGAAAACTGGGCAGCCATGTGCAAAAGAATGAAAGTAGGCCATTATCTTACACCACACACAAAAATAAACTCAAAAGGGACCAAAGACTTGAAGGTAAGACCTGAAACCATAAAACTCCTAGAAGAAAATAGAGACAGTACACTCTTTGACATCAGGCTTAGCAGCATCTTTTCAAATACCATGTCTACTCAGGCAAGGGAAACAGAAGAAAAAATTTAAAAATGGGACTACATCAGACTAAAAATCTTCTGCAAGGCAAAGAAAATCATGAACAAAATAAAAAGACAACCCACCAACTGGGAGAAAATGTTTGCAAATCATATATCTGACAAGGGGTTAATTTCCAAAATATATAAAGAACTCATACAACTCAACAACAAAAAAACAAACAACCCGATCAAAAAATGGATAGTATATGAACAGACATTTTTCCAAAGAAGATCTACAGATGGCCAACAGGCACATGAAAAGATGCTCAGCATCACTAATTATTAGGGAAACACAAATCAAAACTACAATGAGATACCACCTCACACCCCTCAGAATGACTATAATTAACAAGACAAGAAATAACAGGTGTTGGAGAGGATGAGGAGAAAAGGGAACCCTCATACACTGCTGGTGGGATGCAAAGTGGAGCAGTCACTATGGAAAACAGTATGGAGATTTCTCAAAAAAATTAAAAATTGAAATACCACACAATCCAGCTATCCTACTACGGGGTATTTATCCAAAGAGCATGAAATCAACAATACAAAGAGATTTATGCAGCCCTATGTTCGTTGCAGCATTATTCACAACAGCTAAGACATAGAAGCAACTCGAGTGCCCATTGTCGGATGAAGGGATCAAGAAGATGTGGGGTGTGTATATATATATATATATATATATACACATACACACACACACACACACACACACACATACAATGGAATACTACTCAGCCATAAAAAATGACAAAAATCATGCCATTTGTGACAATATGGATGGATCTTGAGGGTATGACGCTAAGTGAAATAAGAGAAACAGAGAAAGACAAACACTGTATGATTTCACTCATATGTGGAAGATAAACAAACACATGGATAAAGAGAACAGATTAATGATTACCAGAGAGGAATGGGGTGGGGAGGTAGACAAAAGGGGTAAAGGGGCACATATGTATGGTGAAAGATAAAAAGTAGACTATTGGTGGGGCCAGCCCTGTGGCTGAGTGGTTAAGTTCATGTGCTCTGCTGCAGTGGCCTGGGGTTTCCCTGGTTCGAATCCTGGGCATGGACATGGCACTGCTCATCAGGTCATGCTGAGGTGGCATGCCATATGCCACAACTAGAAGGACCCAAAACTAAGAATATACATCTATGTATCGGGGGTCTTTGGGGAGAAAAAGGAAAAAAATAAAATCTTAAAAAAAAAAAAGTAGACTATTGGTGGTGGGCACTATGCAGTCTATAAGAAACTGACAGATGGTAATGTCCTCTTGAAACTACACAATGTTATAAACCAACACGACTTCAATAAAATAATCTTTTAAAAAAATTAAGAGTTGTCTTTCAGGAATTGAGACCCCTTGTCCACTTGAGGCCAGTTGAGATCACCAACTCATCGACTGAGACTTTGCAAATGCTCAATAAGTGATCTTTTTGGTGTCAAGGAGCTAAAAACTCCACCCTCGGATCACGGTCAGGCCTCCATTTTGTGAACACGCATCCTGTGAAGAGCCGTGAAGCTTGACTACGCCTGCGCAGATCATCAATCACCTCACGTCTCCCTTCCTCCGATCGTCTACTCCCGCACTTCAGACTGCCCTGCCCCTCATCCCGTAAGTAGCACCCAAGCCCTGGATCAGGGAGACAGATCTGAGGGCACATGCCTCCTGTCTCCTTGCAGATCTCACAAAATAAAGCTACATTTCTTTTCCCAAAAGCTGATGCTGTACTAATTGGCTTTTTTTTATGAGCACTGGGCAAGAGAACCCCAATTTCGTGAGGTAACACTTAGAGCAGAGTTGCCAGGTCAGCTCATCTGCTGCCTTCTGGGCATCGGACCCAGTGTGTCTGTTTCCCATGATGCCCCACTCCTTACAGCCCAGCACCTGTCTACGTGGGAGACTCTGAGCCCCACGAAGGCAGCGCTGAGTCTACTTGCTTCTCCGGGGTGACCTCAGCAAAACCCCAGAGTCCCACAAAGACTAAACACTCAGTAAATATTTGTTGGAGCAAAGTGAAATAAGTCTTTCAGTAGCAATTTTGGGGATGTAGTGTGGTTCAAATGTGGTTTTAAAAATTATGCCAAGAGCATTTTTATTTGGCTTTCAATTCATTACCTTTTTAAAATTTCTGAAATATTCCAAATGTAAAGAAAAATACAGAGAATGATAAAATAAGGATCCCTTTGCCCACTACCAAGCTCAAGCAAATCTTTTTGCTTTGAGTATTCAGTGTTTTATTTTTAAAGAAATAAAACATTGCAGAACAGTTCAAACTCCCTGTACTCCTCTGCCTCGTCCTCTGCTCCTTCCTGTCTCCCCAGGGGGGACCCCATCCTGTCA